GTGGCCCCATGGGGAGCTCCACCGAAGGCTCCAGTGGCAAAGTTCGCATGCAGTTCCACCCCCGCTTCGGCGCACCCCTCACACGGTTCGTGGCCCCATGGGGAGCTCCACCGAAGGCCCCAGTGGCAAAGTTCTCATGCAGTTCCACCCCCGCTCCGGCGCACCCCTCACACGGTTCGTGGCCCCATGGGGAGCTCCACCGAAGGCCCCAGTGGCAAAGTTCACATGCAGTTCCACCCCCGCTTCGGCGCTCCCCTCACACGGTTCGTGGCCCCATGGGGAGCTCCACCGAAGGCTCCAGTGGCAAAGTTCGCATGCAGTTCCACCCCCGCTTCGGCGCACCCCTCACACGGTTCGTGGCCCCATGGGGAGCTCCACCGAAGGCCCCAGTGGCAAAGTTCTCATGCAGTTCCACCCCCGCTCCGGCGCACCCCTCACACGGTTCGTGGCCCCATGGGGAGCTCCACCGAAGGCCCCAGTGGCAAAGTTCACATGCAGTTCCACCCCCGCTTCGGCGCTCCCCTCACACGGTTCGTGGCCCCATGGGGAGCTCCACCGAAGGCCCCAGTGGCAAAGTTCTCATGCAGTTCCACCCCCGCTTCGGCGCTCCCCTCACACGGTTCGTGGGCCATTGGGGAGCTCCCCGAAGGCCCCAGTGGCAATGTTCACATGCTAGCTCACCTCCCTGCACTGTCCGCACCCCTCACGGTTTTCGTTAGGCCCCTATTTGGGGTGACCTCCACGTGGACCCTAGTGGCAAAAGTTCTAATGCAGCTCCACCCCGCTTCGGCTTCGCTGACCCTCACACGGTTCGTGGGCCCCAGTGGGAGCTCCACCGAAGGCCCCAGTGGCAAAGTTCGCATGCAGTTCCACCCCCGCTTCGGCGCACCCCTCACACGGTTCGTGGCCCCATGGGAGCTCCACCGAAGGCCCCAGTGGCAAAGTTCGCCTGCAGCTCCACCCCCGCTTCGGCGCACCCCTCGCACGATTCGTGGCCCCATGGGGAGCTCCACCGAAGGCCCCAGTGGCAAAGTTCACATGCAGCTCCACCCCCGCTTCGGCGCACCCCTCACACGGCTCGTGGCCCCATGGGGAGCTCCACCGAAGGCCCCAGTGGCAAATTTCGCCTGTAGCTCCACCCCCGCTTCGGCGCACCCCTCACACGGCTCGTGGCCCCATGGGGAGCTCCACCGAGGACAGTATTTACCATTGCGCTACTCACAACTGCATATGGTTGGGCCCTTCGCCAGGATACTTCCCCCTCCTGACGTGTCCTGCTTCCGGCCCCCACGCGGCCCCAAGGACTCTCGACCCTTCCTCCCCAGGGGCAGGCTCTTCGCCCCGAGGCGTTCCGTGGACGGCCCCCCGGGGGCCAGGCGACGGTCCCTGGAATCCCTCATGAATCGGCACCCCCTAAAAAACTGGACCCCCCCCAAAGGCGACCTAATATTCCACCACCCTCTTCGACGGAGCGCCTTAAAAAACCGGACCCCCTGAGTTCCGATCCAAAGAAAGCGCCCTAAAAAGCCGGACCCCCCAGCTACAAAAAAGGCGCCCCAAAAAACCGGACCCGGGGGACGATGAATAAGGGACTTGGAGTAGCCCCAGACATCCCGCGCTCCAGCTTTTCCGATGCGTGGCCCCCTGGAGTTCGGTCGGGCACACCCTCCTACAGGCGGAGCTGGGAAGAAACATGAAACATTGGCAACAAAGAGAGAGATCATTTTTTTATTCCGGCCGGTAACGCTCGTTACCCGGGAGGGGGGGGGGGGGGGTCGTGCCCCCCGGGTAACGGTAACGCTTGGGCTGGGCGGGGTATGGCGAAGCAGGGGCGCTCTGCGATCGCCATAGTATGCGCGCGAGCAGCACTCTCTGCCTGAGAGCACCACAGTGGCTTGCGATTCGAGTACAAGCGCAAAGCCCGCCGCGTGGTCCCGGCACCACGCCCGCGCCCGCGCGCGCGACGACGATGATCGACGATGATCGACGACGACGACGACGACGACGACGACGACGACGACGACGATTCGAGTACAAGCATCGCGCATGCGAGCGCCGCAATGGCCTGCGAGCGCCCACAGTGCGCCTGCGACCACCACACCACAGTGCGCATGCCTTCGGGCACCAGCATGTTGGAGGGGAAGACCGAGACCCCCCCCGCGTACGAGCGGTACCGTTACGGGGGGGGGGGGGGGAGAGGCCCGGGTAACGAGCGTTACCCCCCAGAGGATAAAAAAACAATCTCAAAAAAAAACGCATGCAAACGTGATCGAACAAGAAGCACAAAATCGTCCTCTGACTACGTCTTGACTATTTTTGCATGCTCCTCCTGCAGAAGGACATGCCCGACCTATAGCCCTGGAGGTCTGGACAACGTCCTGAGTCGTGTGCTGACGCTCCCGCTGCCCGTGGAGGGCCCCCTCCCCCGAGGCCGAGAAGAGAGAGCCCCAGACTGGCCGCTCCCACGTCTGCCGAGGCCTCGGGCCTCACGGGAGGACGAGCCACAGAACCGTATACGCCGTGGTGTTTGGCAGGAGGCGCGCACGCATGGTGCCACCCGCCCTCCCGCCCCCAGACCTGGAGCACCACGTGCGACCTGCCCTGGGCCAGGAGCACACCGCAGACGCATCTGCCCGGCATCAGGCCTCATCCTGGGTCGAACGGCAGCGGCCGGACGGTCGATGGACGCAGCCACCCCACATGTGTCTCCGAGTATACCCGCAGCGGCACCCACGTGTCCAGGGGGGACGCCCGTGGCTAGAGAACGAGAGCAGCACTTGGACTAGGCCCCAAAGATAGGCTTTCTGGAAGCAGGCAGACCTGGCCCACCGACCCCAGGACCAACGCGCGCGCACGCGCGCCTGGCGCACGCCGCCGGGAGGCGCCGGGAGAACTGCAGGAAGCTGTCCGCGCCAGGGGCCACGCCGCTCGCCTGCCGGAAGGGGGGGGGGCAGGCTGCACCGCAGGGGTGGCCCTGCTGGGAGGGGCGCGGGGAAGGCCAAGGGGCTGAAGGGGTGATCAGTGAGGTATCAGAGCGAGGGGGCCGAACGGTCATGCATTGTCCCTGGGTGCGTGGCCGAAGTGGGCTTCCTAGCCAGAATTATTGATGTTTCTTGACGTCTCCTCTCAACACGATCGACCCACGAACCCGGGAAGGGATGTAGAAATGTGAAGCATGGCATCGTTTTTTTCATGACGTCAAAATGACAGTTCTCAGAGTAACGATCGTGATGCACCGTGCCACGGGCTGTGCTGTACTGCGCCGTGCTGTGCTGAGTTCAACATGTCACGCCGCGTTGAACCGTGCCGCGCCGCGCCCTATTGCATTGTGGATCAAAGCCGTCGTTAGCGTCAGAATCGTGGCCGAACTGATTTGGATCTTCAGCTCGAACTGCCTGAACGCACAGCTCGAACTAGTTCTAGTCGAGACGCGCGGGGCGCTTGACCAACTCTAGCTCAAGGTCCGATTCATTTCCGAAGCCATCGCCCGAGACATTCAGTTCCGCAACGGAGCGAGCCGAGCGCGACCAAGACAGGCGGGGGAGAAACATGCGAGGCGTTCAACCAGCTCGAACTCAAGATCCGATTCAGTTCCGAAGTGGGACGGACCGATCGAGGGGCGAATCCGAACCGAAACGAAAAACACCGAGACGACGACAAGGTACCCGCTCGACACCTCCTCAAACAGTGGAAAAACCAGCGTTTCGCGAGAGGCATCCTCAGCACATGCTGCAGAAGGAGGCTTTCGCTGCAGGCGAGGACTAGGGGGCCGCACGCGAACCCTACCCCTACCCCCCACGATTTCTGAGGGGGAGGGTGGGGTTCACTTCGCTCGGGAGCTCCCGAACGAAATGAACCCCAACCTCCCCCTCAGAAATCGTGGGGGGTAGGGGTAGGGTTCGCGTGCGGCCCCCTAGTGGAACGAGCGTGAGAACACGTGGGTCCCTTGCGCGCCAGGGCGGCATGCAGGCGTGAGAACACGCGGGTCCCTTGCGCGCCGGGGCGGAACAAAAGCGTGAAGGCACGTGGGTCCCTCTCTCGCCCCGGAGCGGAGTGGATGTGAGAGATCACGTGGGTCCCTGTTGCCCCGGGGCGCAGCTGGCGTGGCAGCACCTGGGCCCCTTTCACTCCAGAGCGCTCGGGTGAAGCGAGCTGGGCGAGACGGGCCTTCCTCCCCCCTCGGGTGCGGCGGCCTTCTCGGGTGCCTGGGCGGCCGCGTTCAGGGCCTGGCTCATGGCCTCGCTGCTCAGGATCTCCTTGGCCTGGGGGTCGTCACTGTCGCTGAGGGAAAGGAAAATGAGGAGGGAGGAGGAAGGAAGGACTGAGGGAGGAGGTTGGGAAGCAACTCTTGGGAGTTCTTCGCAAGAACGATTAATGCTTGCAAGCCCGATGAGAATGCTACTAAGCCAGGGTAGCCCAAAATGCGCCCCGGCTTAACCCGCATTAAGCGGGATCAAGCCACATTGAACTGGATTAGGCCAGACTGAGCGAAAGTATACCGAAGCGGACCGATTTTCGACCACGGATATAGCAGCGCCAATGCTGGATGTAACCTCCCAGGAGTTGCATCCGAAAGGGAGGAGCAAGGAGGGATGAGGAGGAGGCGAAGAAGCAGGAGAGGAGGAGGACGAGGAGGAGGACGAGGGAGGAGGAGGAGAGCGAGGATGAGGAAAGCACCAGGATAGGAGGAGGGGACAAAATATACAGCAGGCCGAGGGTAACCGGTGATGTGGTCAAGCAAGCGCTGGGTCACAGAACAGAGCCACGACAGGCGCCCACATCCCTTGCCTCCTCCTCATCATCATCATCATCATCATCATCATCATCATCATCATCATCATCATCATCATCATCATCATCATCATCATCATCAGCATCATCATCATCATCATCATCATCATCATCATCAGCATCATCATCAGCAGCAGCATCACCACCATCACCATCACCATCACCATCACCATCAGCATCAGCATCAGCATCAGCATCAGCAGCATCATCATCATCATCATCATCATCAGCATCATCCTTATCATCATCATCCTCTTCCTCCTCCTCTTCCTCCTCATCCTGCTCCTGCTCATCATCATCATCATCAGCAGCAGCAGCATCATTATCGTCACCATCACCATCACAATCACCATCACCATCCCATCACCATCACTACCATCATCATCATCATCATCTCAGCAGCATCATCATCATCAGCAGCAGCATCAACATCATCAACATCATCATCATAATCACCTTCACCATCACCATCACCATCACCATCATCATCTTCATCGTCATCATCATCAGCATCAGCATGATCATTATCATCATCATCATCATCATCATCATCATCATCATCATCCTCATCCTCTTCCTCCTCCTCTTCCTCCTCATCCTGCTCCTGCTCATCATCATCATCATCAGCAGCATCATCATCATTATCGTCACCATCACCATCACCATCACCATCACCATCACCATCACCATCACATCACCATCACCACCATCATCATCATCTCAGCAGCATCATCATCAGCAGCAGCATCAACATCATCAACATCATCAGCATCATCAGCATCACCATCACCATCACCATCACCATCACCATCACCATCACCATCACCATCATCATCATCATCATCATCATCATCATCATCATCATCATCATCATCATCCCAGTTCCTTATCACTGCTCCTCTCTCCTATTCCCTCCCCTTTTTCTTCCCACTCGTCGTCATGCTGTTTCTGCTGCTGCTGCTGCTGCCCCCCCGCAGCCTTCCGTCTCCACCCGCATGCCCCCCATAGGAGCACGGCCCGTGAGCCTGCACTACCTGTGGCGTTTCCCCGGAGGGCCACGGCTACGCGACAGAAGAAGGAGGTCTCCCCGTCGTTCGGTCGTTCCCTCCTTCTCCCCTCATCTATTCGCCTTTTTGATGTGCCCCCAATGTGTTCGAATGCCTTGCAGCCGGGACCGTTTCCTTTGCGAGAAGAATGTTGCAGGGTCGGACGGCTCGGGAAGCCCTCCGTCGATGCGCCTGGGGTTTCAGTGTGATCAGAAATTCCAAGCTAGCAGCCTGAGGCAGAGGACCCCTCCCAGGCTTCCAGCAAACAATGCCCTGTACGGAGCTCCACGGGGCCACGGAGGCCCTGAGGCACACGGGAGGGGACCTTACACTTGATGTACTAGATAGTGCTTGCGTTGGGAAATCTGCTTGGAAAAGGCCCCAGGTTGCCTGGCGAGTGCCCTGGAAGCTTGCAGAAAGACGCTGTCATGATGATCAACGTCAGGTCAGGTCCCACGCGTTCCCAAATATTGGAGACCGTCTGGGCGCACCTCAGACCCACTGGTTGGCCAACGGTGCAACTGGCAAGGGAGCAGAGGAGTCCGCCCGCGAATGCCAGGTTCCGTCAGAGACTGTTGCCCGCCTCATCGAGGCGGACCGCCGCGGCTTTGCGGGCCCAAGTGCACTTGATGGCCGTAGCGACGGGTGTGCTCTCTACGGCCCCTCGACCGAGGCAGCGAGGATTGCCCAGGGGAGGGGTCGGAGGCGGGAGGGGGCGGAGACGGTGGAGGAGGCGCCCCAGACCACCGCCCACCTCGCCCGTCTGAGGCCGTCTTGGCCGGCGCCGTCGCGCGCGAGGACCAGGGCCGAGAAGGGGCGAGGCGGTGGAATGGTTCGGGGGGGGCTGTTCTGGAATTCGGACGCCCCACATGGGCACGGAAAGAATGGGCACAATGCCCAACAACAAATGTTGTCCCGAACCAACAGCGGCCGCTGTTGTGCAGGCGGCCTTCTGTCTCGAATGGACACAGGCCGCGGCGGCGTGGACAACGAGTCCTGTTCAAAATGAACAGGATCCGCTGTTGGCGTGCCCATTTCGCACGTGCAAATGGAATGCTCGGGTCCTTGCGCCAGCCTCCCCAGATTCAAATCATGAGGGCATTTTCTGGCGCGCTGTTTGCGGTAGTCGCGGGGCGCGTGCCCAGCTCGGTAAGGGCCCGCATGAAGCGCAGAAGCTGACCAAGCCACACGAGCCCGGAACCCGAGGGGAGCGGGAAGCTCGCATCATCATAGATTTGGCAGCTGGTCTCTTTGCTGCCAGTTTATAAGCCCTGGCCACATAAGCAGGAAAGTGCTCATTGATTCCGTCGAATAGTCCAATCGTTTCGTTCGCCGCGCCCGGTTTGAGGGACTCGCGGTGGATCCCTGAAGAAGAAAAAGGAGGTACATACTAAGAAGAAGAAAAATAAGAAGAAGAAGAAGAAGAAGAAGAAAAAGGAGGAGGAGGAGGAGGAGGAGGAGGAGGAGGAAGGGAGGAGAAGGAAGAGGAGCAGGAGGAGGAGGAGGAGGAGAAAGAGGAAGAGGAACAGGAGGAGCAGGAGGAGGTTTTTTCTTTTCACCGCAGGCGCATTCACCATGTCCACGCCAGGTCGTGACACGCACACGCGGGAGGAGAGGCGGAAGCGCAACACTGAGAAGCACAAAGAGAGGCAAGAGAGGCAGAGACGGGCGGTGGCGAGCACTCTGCACGAGGAGCCCGTTGTCCCTCGGGGCGCGTGCTCCCATCAGAATCGGACCACCGCGATTCGAGCGAAGCGCCCCTCCTGCACGAGCCCGAACCACCATCACTCTCCAGCGCGCGAGGGGCCCCAACACGCCACGGGTGCAGAGCAGAAACACAAACAAGGGCACGCCCCACAAGAACGAGGACACGACAAGGAGAGGAACCACCGGCACAGGAGCCTCGAACAACGTCGGGGGCCCGGCGGGGCGGCCGGCCAAGAGCAGACGACAGCGGCAGGGCGCCGCAGGCGCCCCGAACTTCGGAACCTGGCGCGGGCGGGCGGGCACAGAGCTCTCGGGAGAAGAGCGCCCCAGGCACCACGCGCCGCCTACAAGCATTCGTATTGAATACTAGCTGCCCAGGGCGGCTAGCCAGCCAACAGCCACGGTCGACTCCCTGTGCCAAGGGGCCGACCACTGCCGAACCGACGGGTCGGTCAAGGAACCGCACTTCAAGCTCCACGCGGCAGGGGGCGACAAGCGCGGGCGCGGCGAGAGAGACGAGAGAAGCGGCAGGCAACACCCCCCAACCCACCCACATCCACCCCCCACAGCCTCAGGCCGCGCGGGACACAGAAGCACACAAGCAGGAACAAAAGGAGGAGGAACAGCAAGCAGCAGGGAACAGAAAGGGGAGAGTCAAGGGACAACAACAAGCACGGGAGAGGACAGAAGGAGGAGCAGACCAAGGGAACCGCGGAGGGCAGCAAACCGAGGACGAGGGGGGACAGGAGACAGATGGCAACGACGGGACGAGCCGACGGCGGGGCGACGGAGGCTAACAGGCAGGAAGGTCGAGGAAAGGAGAGGACAGCAGGCGGAGAAATACCAGGGGCCCACAAGCCACGCAACCAAGCCTCGGAGATCATGGCCGACCCTGAACTAGCCAAGAAATAACACACACACACACACACATAAACCAGTGCACCCTACCTAGGAGTTGGAGCCCCTGAGAAAGCAGCATTAGTAGTAACAGTAAAGCTAAGCTAGAGCTAAGCTAAAGATAAGCTAAAGCTAAGCTAAAGCTAAGCTAAAGCCAAGCTGAAGCTAAGCTGAAGCTAAGCTAAAACTAAGCTGAAGCGAAGCTGAGGCTCAGCTGAAGCTAAAGTAAAGCTAAGCTAAAGCTAAGCTGAAGCTATGCTAACGCTAAGCTAAAGCTAAGGTAGAGCGAAGCTAAAAGTTAAGCTAAAGCTAAGCTAGAGCTAAGGTAAAGCTAAGCTAAAGCTAAGCAAACACGAACCTAAAGCTAAGTTAAAGTTAAGCTAAAGCAAAGCAAAGCTAAACTAAAGCTAAGCTAAAGCTACACTACAGCGAAGCGAAAGCTAAGCGAAAGCTAAGATAAAGCTAAGCTAAAGCTAGGTTAAAGCTAAGCTAAAGCTAAGCTAAAGCGACACTAAAGCTAAGATAAAGCCAAGCTAAAGCTAAGCTAAAGCTTCAGCCAAAGCTAAAGCTTAAGCTAAAGCTCCCAGGGGACTGGGGGGCCGCTCCCAGGGGGCCGGGGGAAGCGCCCGGGGCGGGTTGCACTGCCCGGCCCCTGTAAGCTAAGACAGTAAGAACCCTTCTAGGCAGAGCCTAGGTCGGGAAATTACCCTGCGACGTACCCAACCCAATGGCATCAAGTGGCAAGCGGAGTAGGGAAACATTAGCAGGAACCGTGACAGTGCAGGCGCGGCGATTTGTAGCGCGACCTACATGGGATGCGT